TTGTGCTTGAACTCACTGCAATCGCCAAATCGTTGAATGCACAGAATTCTGCAAACAATTCTCCATTCTCGTTCTTCACCTCACCGAGTGCTTCTCGACCCATGGTTAGTTCTCTTCTTGTGTTGTCTGCTCCCAGTTTGGCATTCATGTCACCCCACCCATCAGAATGAGTTTTGATATCGCCAACTTGAGTAGTGTCTTGTCGAGTGTTGATTTAATTTGTCTGTAGAATTCCTCCTTCTTCTCTTCATCTGCATTATTTGTAGGTGCGTAGCGTAGCACTGTATGATTGTGACCTTCCTTCCTTTTGAGTTGAACCTTACTGTCATGATTCTGATGCTGGAGGAGATTGGTTCCCACTGCATGAGAGAGAGCCTTCGATGCTGTTGGGGACATCATGATAGCCACTCCAATACTCAGTGTTCTTGTGGTTGTCGTCTGGGTGACAATATCGGGGTAGATTATTGATTCTCCAGTTGACAGTTTGGAGAGTCCACTCCCATTCCATCTGCTTTCGCAAATTCCAAGCACTTCGATGTGATACCTTCTCATCTCGTTTGCAATCTGGGCTGCCTTGCTGGGTTCAAACGTGGTGCGGATATTCCATATCCCCACGTTTACTTTCGCTTTCATCGAGAGAAGTGAAGACACATCGGCCAATTGGCTTCTTGAAGGCTTTCACCAACCGGTGTCATTTCGCCTCTCCGATTCTAGCGAGGGATAATTTTGTTTTTATTCTATATATTATATATATTAATATATAAACTAAAGTGACAGAGGTACTGGGTAGTGAGTGTATTGAAATCAGGGGTAGTGCCATCAGACTGGTCCTCTTCCCTGATCATCCCAGTCTGTAAGAAGGGAGAGACGTCTTCCTGTGACAATCACAGGGGAATTAGTTTGACTTATATTGTCTAAGATCCTAGGGTCCATAGTTATCCGATACATAAGTGTAGCTGGAGAACAGCAAACTCGAGAAAACTAGGCAGGTTTCAGACCTGAACGAGGGTGCATCGACCATAGTTTTAGCCCTCGACAGGTTCTGAAACACAGACATACTTATCGGCCGGTGGTCGACACTTGCAACATTTCTTCACCTGAAGGTGACACTTGACTCTATCGACCATGAGGTGTTGTGGCATTGTCTGGATGTGAAGGGAATACTGAGAAAATATATCGCACAAATCAAATCTCTCTACTCGAACTCACGCAGCCGTGTAAGTGCTTATGGGGAGTTTTCATCAGAGTTGACGACACCTAGTGATATCCGTCAGGGATGTCCACTGTCACCGTTCCTATTTAACTTCGTTCTAGATGTACTAATCGACATAATCTTAGGTAGGTCTAACTTCACAGGGATTGATTAACTGCCTGGAGGTCATCTGGTTTACGTGGAGTACGCGGACGATGTTGTCCTGCTTGGTGAATACGCTGGAAAACTCCAGGGTCCTCTGAACGTGTTGAGTCGAAATCTGAGTATGTTCGATATGAGTCTTGCAGCCTTGAAATGTATGATGATGCTACATGGAGGACTGGCCTGCAACCACTCCTAGTTTAATGGTGGAGAGTGAAGTGGAAGAACATGTTGACCACTTCACTTATTTGGGGAGTTGCATCAGTCCGAACAGGCCGGTTGATGACGAAATCTCAGCTCGGATACAGAAGGCTCGTTTGGCATTTTCCAACTTGCGTCATCTGTAGCACTGGCGAGATACCTGACTGTCTATCAAAGTACGAGCATAGTGTGTTGCAGTCTGTTCTGTCCAGCTATATGGCTGTGAGACATGACCGTTAAAAGTAGAAGATATGAAGCAGTACAGGGTTTTGATCACGGGTATCTTCGTAGGGTTGCTCGCCTTTGTGTGGAATCACGATATGAGAAATATTGAGGTCAGGCGGAGGATACTAGGTAAGACAGGCAAGTCGATTGATGAGGTTGTGAACTTTGGTAGACAGCGAAGGAGATAGAGGAGATATCAGCCTTGGCGAATACTTGGAAATGTTTCCGCTTCTTCAACAAACTATCACAGAGGAATAGACGATGACCGTTGTGGCTACCACACAAACGGTTGGGTTCCTTATAACCTGTCAGAACATACAGCTAGAACGTTGTGCGGAACACGTCGAGGAACATTTTAGCTGACGTATACCAAGACTTCATTTGTTGGGCATTCACTATTTACTGCCCTCCAATCCAGTAAGGCTTTTCTAGTTTGAGTGACTCTATGAAGTATGACGCTATGGTTTACAAGCACAACTTTCGGGAATGAGTTAGATTTACCCGTTACCCGTTGTAGTTACGGAATTATTACGTAGGTTACAGGAATCACTGGTTGCCTTCGTTGCAAAGCTCACGTATGATGAAACCTGTGAACAATGTCGAGGTTAGGTGTTGAGTTCTTCGCAAAGTAAATAAGTCAAGCAGTGAGACTATGAACCTTCACTGACTGTCAGATGCATTGCATATGTGTAGCATATGCCAAGCCACCACCAACAGACTAGCACGCCGAAGTAGTCGATTACCATTGAGGCTATCATAAAAAGGTTGGGTCCCTTATAACCTGTCAGGACAGACAGCTAGAAAGTTTTGCGGAACACTTCGACGAACAGTCCAACTGACCTACAGTAACTCTGAACATGCAGTATGAACCTGTATTGGACGTGGCTATTGGGTCTATACCTCTCTTAGAAGTTTAGAAGTCTTTTTCAAAACTGAGGGGTTGCAAAGCCGTACGCGACCTGAATGTTCACCATCAGAATTCTCCAATGATATAGGTAGGAAGGTATTGACTATAGCAAAGAACGTATTAGGTAACGTATGAGGACCAGAAGTAGTCCCTTCAGTCTGGTCGACATCACTGGTCATTACAGTTTGTATGAAAGGAGAGAACTCTTCTTGTGACAACTATAGGGGAATAAGTTTGACTATCATTGCATCTAAAACCGAATTTATCGACAGCTTAACTTTAGTCCGATAACAACATAATCTCGAAAGAATCAGCCTGGTTTCAGATCTGGACAAGGGTGCATCTATGTGATCTTCACCACTGGATAGGTTTTGAAACCTCAACAGCATACTTTCCATATTTATTGATCCGAAGGTGGCATTCAACTCTGCTGAATGGGAGGTATTTTTATCAAGGTCTCCCACTTGTATTCATGCAGCCGTGTAATAGTTTATAGAGAGTTGTCGGCTGAAGTACTGACAACCCGTATTGTCCGATCGACCGTTAGCTGCTATCTTGACGTAGTGGCCTAGCTTGGATATAACGATGACTAAACAACGTTTGCTGGCAGGAAAATCCACTCCATGAAAGGTCTAATAGATAGTGGTTAGACTTAAAGGAGTGTAAATAGCTACGCTGTGATGGGGATCTGACAGTGCAGTCTCACTGCTTAGGGTGTTTCTCACGTATGATCAACACTCTATGCTCATGTTGCCTCTTTCCAACAAGAAGAATGTCTTGATCTCACCACCTTGAACCTTCTTCCAATCAAATTCTACTTCGACTGACGTCGTACGTCTAGGTTGGTGGTGGCTTGGTATAAGCAGAATATGTCTAAGCCACCTCAGTCAGTGGAGGTTAACAATTTCACTGACTGACCTGCAGGTGAAGCTTTCAGATGTAGTTGTCGTAGCAGGTGATATCAACGTACGTGTTGTCAGGGTACTAAATCTGTACTTTTAGGTTCTCCAACCAACGAAGAGATAATAATGATCGTCTGCTCGGTGTTCAGATAATCACCTATTTCTAGCCAACATGACCGTCAGGCATAACGACAATTATTATCACCGACCTGTTCTCAACGGTGGACACACTGTTGTCAGTTAGCGCTGCAGAAAATTGGTTGTTAGGTTGTCATTCATTCTGGAACAGGTCTTTGAAGAATAATCATGCGTTGCATCTATCAGGCGTATGTCTGTACCTTAATGGACAAGGGGAAACTACGTCTGGTGGACCATTCCCATCGTAGCTCGATGCTGAGTATGTTAAGGCTGTTTAAACAAGAAACCGGTTAGATAGTTATAGAAACACCAGTGGGTCACTCATCTTGAAAATTTTGGTATGAACTGCATTCTTCCGTAGAAGCAGCGTTAAGGGTCGTATTTGACTCTCGGGAAAAGTTTAAAAAGAGCCAGTGGATCTAGTTGCTGAACTACTGGATTCACGTGAACACATTTCTACGGTCTCCTAGCACAATAAATAGCAGAAGGAACTCAAATGTAGACTGACAGGGTCTTCGAAACGACTACGAGCAGTGATGGCTATGAAAGCTTTAACAGAGGGAAAAGTTGGCGACGAAACGTAACGGTGGACAGGTGTTTCGATTTATGAAGGTAGTCAGTTGTCAGGGAGATGGAATGGATAGGATGATATACATACGTCTGCCATTAGATCGATGGCCTCAAACTTCCAAAGAAAAGTTCACCCAACTTTTAGCTAATACTCAGTTACTTTCTGTTCAATCGGATCCCGAATGGAATACTCAGAAAGACCCTCCAACTCTCATAGAAGTTGGAAAAAAACAGCCTAGAGTAAGGGGGGGGCATCATGTCCTGATGAGTTAGCACTACAGGTATTAAGAGACAATAAATGAGGATTTCTAATTAGTCTAAGTATCAGCTACATGATGTGAATCAAATATGATCCCACTTGACTAGCTCCGATCAGTGATATACCAAGTCACAAAGTAATCAGCCTCACGAACTTTGTGCCTAAGATTCTATCTTCGGTAATCATTGAACACTTAAGTGGAGCTCGAGAAAATAATACACCTCTCGGACCTCATCATGGTTGTCGACCAGACATTCGTCCTCTGACTCCACCCCGCCAAACAATAAATGTGTTTATCGACCTAGAGGCGGCATTCCATTCCCTCGACAGAAACATCTTTCACAGTGTGTCTCACTAGAGGATTTGCTGAGTAATGGGTATACCAATTTGTTGTCGACTGTGTGCTCGAACACTCATGGCTGTGTTACAGCCTTTGCTCACTATCTCCATTCTTACATAATTTAGTTACAGACGTGCTTATGGTGGCAGGTCTTCCTCTGCTCATCTGACTTCACCCACAGATCGATCTTGTCACAGGACATTCCTTCTTAAATCTAGGGTGGACAGGTGAAATGATCCCGTTTGGTGAAGATGCTGAAAAGATGTACAGTTTTCTGGACATTTTGAATGGGAATTTGAGAATGTTTGGGATTTGTTTCTCACTACAGAAATGGGAATTGTTGTTCCACGACTGGTTTTCAGTGGTGCCCTGTCTAAGAAAAGAGAGTGAAATGGTTGAGTGCCTTGATCACTTTACTTCACTACACGTAGTTATCAAGTGAGGTCAGTGCTGGTGGGTCAGTGACCGACGAAATGTCTGTACGGATACAAAAGTGTCGGTCGACTTTTGTCAGTTTATGTGATGTTTGTATGCCACTGGTGCAATATTAGTTTGGCTGTTAAGAGTTGAGTGTACTGGGCTGGACTGGACCACAGTTTTCTCTCTTCTACTGCACCGCATAGAAACAACATGATCATCAACAAAGGTAGATGACATGAGAAGGTTTTAAGTGTTTGACTGTCATCGTCGTCGTTTCGGGATTCGCATAGACCATGCGTGTGTTATGGTGTCATGGTGTCAGTAATTTAGAAGTAATGTGAACAGTTTTGTGAAGGGGAGGAAAATTGGTGGGTGATGTTGTGAGCGTTCATCGTTTGAGTTGACTGGCATATGCTTTCGGGATGCCTAATCACTGTCCTCCTCATCGCATAATGTTAGCTGTCTAGATTCAAACCGGAAAATGGTTGTGGGTGCCCAGACTAAAAGATCGTATTAGTTCATCAAATGCATAATTGTTGATCTCAGCCGCGTTGGTCCTTGTGACAACGGCAAGGAGTGAGTTGACTTTTGAATAGAATTACTGAGAATCAATTTCACTGACTCAGATCGTCTTAAAATGTATTGCAATCCCGGTCGTCTTGCTGTATTTCATTGCTTCTTCATTCATTCTTGTTTTCTTGTCGTGACTTTCTGCCTTTTTATACACGTTCTGGACTTCTTTCTCTTTGTTTTCTTTTTTCACCTCTGACCTTTTTCTGATATTTGGCTTGGTTAAGTGTGGCGTCCCTCCTTAGTTTCGTTGATGCATTGATTTTGACTCACTTGTCTATATTCTTCAGGGAGAAGAGCTGTTGGTTGCACCTGAGGTCGTAGCCGAACAATTCTTCGTTATCTGCAGGCGGCAGTCCCACTTTTAAATTTGCTGAGCTTAGAATTGATTGGTGTAGACTTCACTTACGAGTATGAAGTATTTTTCTACAATGAGAGTCTAGAATAGGCGATGGAAATATAGGCTAACACAAATTCTCATCTTATTATTAATGTCACTCGTGGCGGAGATGTTGGACGAGACAGTTATGCAACAGAGTGAAGTTAAGGTATGAGCAATGGTTGAAATCCTCCGTATATCATTGAGCCTGTATGTCGGAGAAAAGTAGTCTTTTGTATCCAGGTTTGATCACTATTAATACAACACGAAGAGGTTATCAACAAAGGTTGCCTTACATACTGTGGCTATCAGTCGAATACCTTTTTCGATCATTTGGAAACAAATTTCAAGTTTACCTGTTATCGTAATACTTTTTAACATGAAAATTTTTCTTATTGCATTGATGATGTTTACTAATTGACTATCCTTTTCGAAGAAATAATTCTTTTTAACATGAAAATGTCTCGCCTTCTTTTTTATGTCTCAGATCAGATCAGAATAGCTCAAAAATTCGCATATTTGACGCTCGTAGTAAAGGTGAATTATTACACACGATGGAGAAGTTACATGAGGCACCCGTTGTATGTTTAGCTGTAAGTCTTCTGCATACTGTTTTTCATATTGTATGATTTTGCAGCTTCTATTTGTCCATTTCAACATCTTCATAATCTCACATCTACTTTTTGCTGTTATCATTGGATGTCTACTTCAAACACCATAATTTTTGTTCTATACATGTTTTTTTGTTGTACCAATATCCGATCCTTGAAATGATTCCCGGCTCTCCATTTTTTTAAGATGCTTTCTACAATTTGGTGGTTGTTGTTGCAGGTGACTTCAATGTACAGGTGGGTAGACTGAGTGAGGCAGAAAGGCACTTAGGTGGCACTTTTGGAGTCCCGGCTGGACGATCAAATAACGGTTATTACCTACTACAACTGTGCTCAGATAACCCCTTTTTTTAGCTGGTACAAATTTGAGACATAAAGAAAGATACTGTCTGACGTGGCGTCCACCGAGCTCAACTCCATGATGGACACAGATAGACCACATTGCTATTAGTCATCGCTGGAGGGATCGGTGGAGGACTGTCGCTTCTCTGGTGTAGGTGTTTGGATAGCGACCAGGTATTGGTCCGAGCGTGTATATGTCTGCATCTCAATGGGATTAGAAAGAATTTGGTAACAAAACCATCACGGGTGCAGCTCGACAACGAAAACACCAAAACCGAGTTCATTGAGAAGTTGGCTAGGTAGTAATTGGAACAGAAGACTATCATCCAAAAGAAGCTTGGTGCCATCTCCAGTCTGCTGTAAAAGCAGCGTTGAAGACCGTAGCCGACTCCTAAATAGTGGCTAAAAAGAGCCGGTGGATGTCAGCAGCTTCTTCTGGACTAATGGGCAAACGTGGACGCATCCCTTCAGGCTCTGAGTACAATGAAGAACGAACAGAACTTAAAAGTAGATTGAGAAAAATTCCATATTAGATTTGCTTATTTGATTTATAAAACACAGTAATCTAGTATTATTTACTTGATATGATTATGAGCAATAATTTATGCTCGAAACGTCATCAAGTAAATAATACTAGATCACTGTGTTTTATAAATCAAATAAACAAATCTAATATGGAATTAAATTCTACCACAGTGCCCAAGTTTTACACGTAGATTGAGAAAAAGTCTACCCAATGACCGCGAACGGTGGTGGGCAGCGAAGGCTACACAGATGGAAAAGGCAGCGGCGATTTGTATTAGTAGACAGGTATTTATACTTATTAAGGAGATTGGGGGGAAAAGGTCAACTGCGGTTAGTGAGACTATAGAGGAGAAGGACGGATCTGCGATTCATTGACAGAGGAGACGACTGGAACAATGGACAGAACACTTCGAGAAGCAGTTTAACTAGCCTCCAACCACCATTGCGTTGCCCTGAATGGAACATAGAGATAGGTCCCCCAACACTGGGAGAAGTGGAGAAGGTGGTATGTAACCTGGAACGAGGAAGGGTGGCAGGACCAGACGGACTACTGCTGAGGTATAGAAGGATGATGGTGAGGTGATCTTAGTCAGGTTATCGAAGGTGTTAACCAGTATATGGGAGTGAAATAGATCCCCTCTGACTGGTCTGAATTACTGATGATCCCGGTCTTCAATAAATGCGAGAAGTCCTCTTGTGATAACCACAGAGGAATCAGCCTGACGAACATAGTGTCTAGGGTTCTAGGTTCTATAATTCTTCGACGTCTGACTGGAGCTCGGGAACAGCAATCCCGAGAAAACTAGGCAGGCTTTAGATCCGGCCGTGAGTGTATTGACCAAATATTCACACTGCGCCAAGTTTTGAAACACAGGCATGCTTACCAACACCCGACAGTGGTTGTATTTCTCGACCTGAAGGTGGCGGCATTCGACTCCGTTGATCAAGAGGTCTTATGGCAGTGTCTCTCACTGAAAGGTGTACCGAGTAAGTACATCACCTTATTGAAGACTCTCTACTCGAACACTTGTGGGTGTGTTAGAGCCTATGGTGAGTTGTCCATGGAGCAATACCCATCGAGTGGTGTCCACCAATGATGCCCACTCTCTCCATTCTTATTCAATTTTATCATGGATACTCTTATGGTGGTCTCCCTCTCATCACCTGACTACACAGAGGTTGACCTAATCTCAGGGGGATTTTCGTTAGACTTAGAATATTCAGATAACATAGTCCTGTTAGGTGAAAACGCTGACAAGATGCAGTCTTCTGAACTATTTGAGTGTCAATTTGAGAATGTTTGTGATGTGGTTCTCACCACCCGAATGCAAATTGTTGCTCTATGACTGGTTTCAGCGGTGCCGTGGCTAACAATAGAGAGTGATGCTGTTGAGTGTGTGGGCCACTTCACTCACCTGGGAGGTGGGATCATCCCTGCCCTTGTGGCTCAGTGGCCGATGAAATCTCCACAAGGATGCAAAAGACTCGGTTGGCTTTTGCCAACTTACGCCACCTACGGCGCTGCCGTGATATCCGATTGTCTATTAAGGGTTGTGTGTACTGCACGGCAGTCGGTCTGTTCTAGTGTATGGCTGTGAAACATGGCCATTGAAAGTGGAAGGTATAAAAAGGCTTCAAGTGTTTGACCACTGTTGCCTTCGTAGTGTTGGCCGTATTCCGTGTTGTCACCATGTGAGTAACGCAGAAGTCGGAAGTGGAGTTTTAGGGAGGGGGGGAGAAGAGGTAAATCAGTTGACGAGGTTATGAACCTTCATCGACTGAGATGGCTGGTTGGGACACGTGTTACATATGCCTAGTCACCGATTGCCTCATCACACAATGTTGGCCGAAGTGAGTTCAGGCTGGAAAAAGGCTCGAGGTGGCCAGACCAGAACAGTGTTTAATGTCTCTGACTGTTGGTTTAAGCCATGTGGAGGCGATGCAGACTAGGTGGTTGGGGTCCACGGGACAAGAGGAACCAGTGGTTGGAGACTCTAGGTGATATGGCTCATAACTGATGTCAGTGGTGCAATGTATACACACATTATCTTCAACTTAACGATGCTATACCTAATCTCACCACTTTCTCATTCTCCATTTATCTGTTTTCGTTCTTAATATTTCTTTTGACTGAATTTGGTTTCTTCATCTTGCGCCTCACTACTTTTTTACTTGATGTGCTGATATGAGATGTTGCAACTCGGACCGCTACGCAGTAATGCCTAGTTCTATGCTGATATTGATGATGATGATGACAACTTGGCATCGTTTTTCTCTACGTTGAATCCTGATTTTCATGTTTATTGTTTATTCACGCTACTCTTTGTCTCTGACCTGTGCTGGCAGTTTAACACTTTTAATGTGTTATTCTGTGCTTCACTCTTGAAAGACAGTCAAAGCGTACTTGCACACTATTATATGACTTTCAGCACTTTCTTTGGTGTGTAACGGTAAATTTTCAGGAAGACAGTCGAAATCTGCGTGAAATCTCGCATGGAAGTTTATTGGTTCCATTGATCCACTTCACTTACCTGGGAAGTAGGATCAACCCTGGTGGGTTAGTTGCCGATGAGATCTCTGCACGGATACAAAAGGCTCGATTGGCTTTTGCCAATTTGCGCCACCTATGGCGCCGCTGTGATATCCGTTTGTCTGTTAAGGGTCGCGTGTACTGCACAGCAGTCCGCTCTGTTCTGGTGTATGGCTGTGAAACATGGCCATTGAAAGTGGAAGGTATAAAAAGGCTTCAAGTGTTTGACCACTGTTGCCTTCGTAGTGTTGGCCGTATTCCGTGTTGTCACCATGTGAGTAACGCAGAAGTCGGAAGTGGAGTTTTAGGGAGGGGGGGGAGAAGAGGTAAATCAGTTGACGAGGTTATGAACCTTCATCGACTGAGATGGCTGGTTGGGACACGTGTTACATATGCCTAGTCACCGATTGCCTCATCACACAATGTTGGCCGAAGTGAGTTCAGGCTGGAAAAAGGCTCGAGGTGGCCAGACCAGAACAGTGTTTAATGTCTCTGACTGTTGGTTTAAGCCATGTGGAGGCGATGCAGACTAGGTGGTTGGGGTCCACGGGACAAGAGGAACCAGTGGTTGGAGACTCTAGGTGATATGGCTCATAACTGATGTCAGTGGTGCAATGTATACACACATTATCTTCAACTTAACGATGCTATACCTAATCTCACCACTTTCTCATTCTCCATTTATCTGTTTTCGTTCTTAATATTTCTTTTGACTGAATTTTGGTTTCTTCATCTTGCGCCTCACTACTTTTTTACTTGATGTGCTGATATGAGATGTTGCAACTCGGACCGCTACGCAGTAATGCCTAGTTCTATGCTGATATTGATGATGATGATGACAACTTGGCATCGTTTTTCTCCACGTTGAATCCTGATTTTCATGTTTATTGTTTATTCACGCTACTCTTTGTCTCTGACCTGTGCTGGCAGTTTAACACTTTTAATGTGTTATTCTGTGCTTCACTCTTGAAAGACAGTCAAAGCGTACTTGCACACTATTATATGACTTTCAGCACTTTCTTTGGTGTGTAACGGTAAATTTTCAGGAAGACAGTCGAAATCTGCGTGAAATCTCGCATGGAAGTTTATTGGTTCCATTGATCCACTTCACTTACCTGGGAAGTAGGATCAACCCTGGTGGGTTAGTTGCCGATGAGATCTCTGCACGGATACAAAAGGCTCGATTGGCTTTTGCCAATTTGCGCCACCTATGGCGCCGCTGTGATATCCGTTTGTCTGTTAAGGGTCGCGTGTACTGCACAGCAGTCCGCTCTGTTCTGGTGTATGGCTGTGAAACATGGCCATTGAAAGTGGAAGGTATAAAAAGGCTTCAAGTGTTTGACCACTGTTGCCTTCGTAGTGTTGGCCGTATTCCGTGTTGTCACCATGTGAGTAACGCAGAAGTCGGAAGTGGAGTTTTAGGGAGGGGGGGGAGAAGAGGTAAATCAGTTGACGAGGTTATGAACCTTCATCGACTGAGATGGCTGGTTGGGACACGTGTTACATATGCCTAGTCACCGATTGCCTTGTCACACAATGTTGGCTGTGGTGGCTAGACTGAAACATGGCACCAATGTATGAAGTC